TTAGGGTTTAGGGTTTAGGGTTTAGGGTTCAGGGTTTAGTTTAGGTGTTGTGCTCCACTTTTCTGGACGGGAGAGGGGTGCCCAGAGATATGTCGTAGGCTCATAGGACCCGATCGGTAGGGTGTGCATTTCTTTTTTCGCCTGACTTGAGAAGCGAATGATTGGCAATTGTCTGTGAGATGCTTAACCCTAAACCCTAAACCCTAAACCCTAAACCCTAAACCCTAAACCCTAAACCCTAAACCCTAAACCCTAACCCTAAACCCTAAACCCTAAACCCTCCACCAAGGTATTGTCGCCTTCTTTTCGCGTTTGGGGGCTACCCAAGACCTTTCTAGAAGACAGATGAGGGCTTCGGTGGAGCGGAGCCTTTCATTCCTTAAGGTGTTTAGGGCGTTAGGGCTTAGGGTTTAGGGCTTAGGGCTTAGGGGTTAGGGCTTAGGGTTCAGGGTGTATAGGTTTTTTGGGGTTTAGGGTTTAGGGTGGGCGTGCTGCACGAGAGCGTTTGGCGGGACTGGAGAGTGAGTGGAGGCTCCAACCACAGATCCAGTGGCCTCTATGAAAGTCTCAAACCCAAACAGCCCCAAAAACCCAAAACCCGAAAAAACAAAAAACAGAAAACAAAACCCTAAAGCCCGATGATGCGGAGGGCCGAGGGGCCACGGCGCTAGCGTCTGAGCTTCGGAGAACGCGTTCACGCTTTAGGGTGTCGCGGCACTAGCCACTCCGCTCCAGACGCGCGTGCGCGCGCGAAGGAGTTCCTTCTGGGCTGCTACAACCTACACGGCGATGCATCCCAAGCTTGGTGACAGGAGACGTTTCTGGATGTTTCGGGTGTGGGATTCTCCATGTTCCACTGTAGGGGCTTCAAAGGGCTGATGTTTTTTTTCGGGTGGGGAGTCTGTGGGGGCTCTTATGGTGTTGGAAGTCTGGGAGGGCCCTCGTGTCATGGATGCGCTCCACTTGCGGGAAGCGCTTGGTAGTTACGCGTGGCACATACGTGCAGCCATTGTGGGCTGGCATTGCAGCGGACTGAGGGTTAGCTTCAGGCTTCTGAGGGCGGCGGCGGGATGCTGCAAATCCGCATGATGTCAGGGGAAGAGGTGGCCGCCATGCCCGTGGAGGAGGTGAGCAGCGTGCGGGAAGTGAAGCGGCGCTTGCACAAGCTGCATGGCCTGCCACCGCGCTTCAGGCAGAGGCTCATGGTCCAGGGCTCCAGTCTGAAGCTGGATGATGCCGACAAGCTCGAATCACCCATGGACCTGGCACTCGTTGTGGTCCCTTTCTCCAGCCCTTCCCCGACGCAAGCGGAGGATCTCGTAGAAGCTGCCGGGAACGGGTCCACGAAAGAGGCAGGCTCTTGCCCCTAATGAGTCTAGAGTTTTGCATCAAGTAGAATAAGCTGTGAGAAACCCGAAACTTCCAGCCGGAAACCTGCAGGTCGAGTCTCTGCTGCAGCTGCCCCTCGACCCAAATGGCGCGGACGACGGCCGCACACCTTTGAAGATGGCAGTTCTGAAAGGCCGCGTCGAGGTCCTGCGGTTGCTGCTGGAGGCTGGCGCCGAGAAGGACACGATCCATGGCGGCTATCGCTTTGCTGCCCTGGTTGCCGCTGCATATGATGGCAATGTTGAGGTCGTGCGTGTGCTGGTGGAGGCCGGTGCTGACAAGAATGTGGGTGACAACAATGGCAACACAGCCTTGATGGCCGCAGCTTTTGGAGGCCACGTTGAGGTCGTGCGGCTGCTGGTGGAGGCCGGCGCCGACAAGGACATCGGCAACAATGATGGCGTCACGGCCCTGATGATGGCCTCAGATCTTTTTGGCCATGTTGAGGTGGCGCGGGTGCTGGTGGAGGCCGGCGCCGAGAAGGACAAGAGCAGAAACGATGGCGCCACAGCGCTGATGAGAGCAGCTAAAGAAGGCCACGTTCAGGTTGCGCGGTTGCTGGTGGAGGCCGGCGCCGACCAGGACGCCAGCAGCAACGGTAGCGCCACGGCCTTGACGAACACGGCGCCAGAGCCCGCCACAAAGAGAAGAAGGCACGTCTCTTCAAGGGTGAAAAGCCTTCTAAACCACCCTCTGAACCCAATGAGCCCTAGAAACCCTAGACCCCACAGAAACCTTAAGCCCAAAGTCCTTCGCAGGATGACCCTGGAGCCCTGATGACTGCATCGAAGTCATCTTTGGTGGAGGGGCGGATTCAGGGTTCAGGGGTCTAGGGTTTGGGTCGAGACCTGTCAAAGACCTTTGGCCGAGGTGAAAATCCAGCGAGCCTGGCTTTTGGGTTTAGGGTTTAGGGTCTAGGGTTTAGGGTTTAGGGTTGAGGGTTTAGGGTATAATCCAAGGTTGAACCCTGTTCGGGCTTACTTGTACGGTTTAAGCATGGGGAAGCCCAGAAACTCCAATACCCCCTTTTCTTGAGGCTATTTTTCAATCCTCTTATTGGAATCCTCTTTAATGAAATCTCCGGAATGCTCTTCCCTTCAAGTTGATGTGGAGTCTCTGGGTTCACACAGGAGCTAGGTCCCCTTCTGAGACCCATTCCTATTTAGGGTTTAGGATGCGGTATATATATGTATGTAAAAAAAGATGTAAAATTATTTATATATTTATTTATATTTATTTATTTATCTATTTATTTATGTTTTTTCTTCTTGAGGGTTTAGGATTTGGGTGTAGTGTATCATACATATAAACATATAAATGCTAAACTCTCCAATCCCTAAACATTGTCTACCTAGTGACGGAGGAACCGAGGCTCTGGAAACATGCCGTCCATGAAGCCGGCAACGAAAGTCGAAAACCCGAACCCGGACCTTGTGAGGCATGGCCGACCCAGAGAACAAGTTAGGGTTTAGGGTTTAGGGTTTAGGGTTTAGGGTTTAGGGTTTAAGGTTTAGGGTTTGAGCGTACACAAGGTGCGCAGTATCAGGGTTTTGGGTATCATGGTATTCAGGATTAAGGCATTCGAAAGAGGCCCCCAGAAAAACCCACCCAAGAAACCTTTGGGAACCCGAAGACCTCTAAAGCCTTTCAGGAGACCCAAACCCCCAATAGGAGTCCCAATAGGGTTTAGAGTTTAGGGGCTGGGTCTAGTGTTTCGGAACCTTTAGGTGCTGAGCAAGCGCGGCAGCCTTCAACCCGGTTCGGGCAAACCTCCTTCGCCCCTGAACCCCACCCGAAACCTCCCCAAAGCCGCCCTAAGGCGTCGACCAGAGCCCAAAAAAACCCATGAATTCTCTGAACCCTACGAACCCTCTGAACCCTACGAACCCTCTGAACCCTACGCTCTGAACCCTACGAATCCTATGAACCCTAAAGGCCCCCCCGAGCCCCCGAAGAAGCCCCAGGAGACGAGCCCTCGAGCTTCGAAAGCAAGGCCCCCCTCGGCCACATGTGAGCTCGATTACGAGGGGCTTCGGCTCTGCAAGGCTTTAGGGTCGTTTTAGGGTTTAGGAGGCTGACTTAGGGTTTAGGGTTTAGAGCTTAGGGCTCGTTGTGTGTGTGTGCCCGGTTTAGGAGGCTGACGTAGGGTTTAGGGTTTAGAGCTTAGGGCTCGTTGTGTGTGTGTGTGTGCCCTGAAACCCTAAATTGGGTGAAGGGCTCACAGAGTTCCGAGGGTTCGAGATTGGATGCACTTAAACTCGGTGGGCCCCTGGGAATTTTGCGTTCAAAAGGACCATGTTGACATTGCAGGACCATTTTTCAAAGTGTTTCAAGGGCCGTCCTAGGGATGTTTGCTTTTGCTTAGTTTCGGCTTTTTGAGGTTTTAGGGTGATTTAGGTTTTCGGGTCTAGGGTTAGGGTTTAGGGCTTAGGGCTTAGGGCTTAGGGCTTCGGGCTTAGGGCTTAGGGTTTAGCATGTGCGCCCTGAACCCTAAGTTGGGCGAAGGGCTCACGGAGTTGTGAGGGTTCGAGATTGGATGCACCTAAACTACCCTAAACCCTAAACCCCAAACCCTAAACCCTAATCCCCAAACCCTAAACCCTAAACTAGGTAGGCCCCTGGGAAGTTTTTGTCATTTTTTTCTTCTTGGCCTCAGCCAGAGCCCGATTTTTGTCTCAAATGCGCGCAGGCCTCGAAAACAAGCCCTAAACCCTAAGCCCTAAACCCTTAACCCACCATGGTCCACAGTCGCGCGTGCGCAGCGCTCTAGCCGATCTAGCGCCACTCTTACTTGCCACATTAAGAGCTCCTAGTCTTTGTGCTGACACGCGAGTTTGCGAAGATAGGGGACCCCCAAAATAGACGCCTAAATAGTAGGACCCCCTGATAATAAGTACCCCAAGAAGGTACCCCTAATTTCGGAAACCCCCCACACTGTTTAGGCAACAAAGGCGAAATGGGTTCGGACCTTCATCCGAGCCCCTTGTGCAGGCAGCCTGACTTCGCTCCCAGCACTCGTCACTAGCATGAGGTCAAAAGGCAGATGTTTTGGTGGCATGTTCCCCCTTATACTAACCGTCCTTACTAGGGATGATAGTAGGGGGGTACTATAATCCCTATTGAGGACTCTTAGTATCAAAGGGAACATCCCAACAGACTGTTGGGATAAGAGGGAACATCCCAAACCCTAAGCCCTAAACCCTAAACCCCAAAACCCTAAACCCTAAACCCTGGATCCCAACAAAACCACATCATCTGCGGTGCTTTGCTCAAGCAAACGCGCCAGTGGAGCCGAAACCTTGGAGCGCATGGAGACGCCAATCGCATGTCCATCACGTTCCCCATGCACAAGGGTTTAGGGTTTGGGGTTTCAGGGTTCAGGGTTTAGGGTTTAGGGTTTAGGGTTTAGGTTAGCGTTTAGGGTTTAGGGTGTAGGGTTTCGGGTGTAGGGTTTAGGGTTCATACTGGAAAACAGACCTCTCATGACATTGACCCGATGGGAGCCGCAACAATATGTTGCCTTAGATCCGGCCCAAGCAAACCGCAACACGCATACTGCACACACTCAACGCCTATCGGCACTTCCCGTGCCTAAGGGGCACACAAACGCCATGGGCCTAGGGGCAAGCAACCTTGCACAGTTTCGGTCGGTCTGCGAGGTCGGCGGAAAGGTAGTCGCTTGGGGATACTTTGAAGTAATTTAAATATCGTTTGGTAGCAGAATGCCTAAGAAACAGCTCAACTTACAATTTGTGCTAGGGTTCCAAGTTCAGAAAAGGTCGGGGTGCCGCACAACGCTGAGAAGGTTTTGGTGGTGGACCCTGGAACTGGCCAGGCTTCATCCATCGACCTCCCTTTCAGCATTGCTGCAAGTAAGAAAAACAAGTTTGCTTCTGTTTGCCGTGTGAATGGCAAAGCAGTGGTGGCTTCGTAGCCCAGTGGTGCGCTTTTGCCCTTTTTTGGGTTGCAGGTTCCCTCAACAAAGTACCCAGCCCAAAAGGGGTACTAAACCCTAAACCCTAAGTCCTACACCCCCTGATTCGAACATGCTTACTGGACTGCCAAGGTGGTACCCTACAATTCTGAAAAGGTTTTAGTCGTGGATCCGGAAACTCGCAAAGCTTCTGCCATCGACCTCCCAGCAAGCATTGATGCGAAGAAGGACTACAAGTTTGTTTCCTACTTGAGCTTTGAGACTTGCGTTTCCATTTTTCTTGTAGAAAGTCAGAAGAGCCTAAGGATTTTTGTTCCTGTGGCTATTGGAGAAGTAAGGTTTCCGTGTGCAGTATTGATGGAAAGGCAGTGGCTGTGCCGTGGAATGCTGAGAAGATTCTGGTGGTGGACCCTGCAGCTGGCCAGGCTTCGGCCATCGACCTCCCCGCCGGTGTCGACGAAAGGAAGGAGCTAAAGTTCCTATCTGCCATCAATGTGAATCTTACTGCTTCTTAGTAGGGTTTTGGGTAAGTTCCTATCTGCCATGAATGTGAATCTTGCAGATTCTGGGCAGGGTCTACGGTTTAGGATTTCGTGAGCTAGGTACTCTGAACTTTCCCATGACCTGTACTACCCATGGAGGGAGGATGATTTTGCAGGGACCCGAGTTCCCTCTTATTATTCTCCCTGAATCCTAAACCCTAAGCCCTAAACCCTAAACCCTAAACCCTGAACCCTAAACTCTAAACCCTAAACCCTAAACCCTAAACCTACCGAGAACGGGCAAGGAATGGAAAGGTTCTGGCGGTGCCTTACAACGCCGAGAAGATTTTGCTGGTGGATCCTGTACCTTGGAGACCAAAAGAACCCTAAAATTGAGGGTCAGGAGATACCCTAAACCCTAAACCTAAAATGGGGGGGTTTTATTACCCTATACTACTATAATCCCTGTTAAAGTAAATGTACCATGTACCCTGTACTACTATATTCCGTATTAGATTATGTAAACCCTAAACCCGAAACCCTAAACCCTAAACCCTAAACCCTAAACCCTAAACCCCCTTAACCCTATTGGGGCTCATCTCGTCCTGAAGGTCGCGAAGCAAGCCACGGCCATCGACCTCCCCGAAGGCGTTGCCGCAAGCACGGCCTGGAAGCTCCTCACAGGGGGATGGGGGTGTTTTGTTCAAGGGTTTGGGGTTTAGGGTTTGGGGTTTGGGGTTTGGAGTTTGGGGTTTGGGGTTTGGGGTTTGGGGTTTGGGGTGCATGACCCCAAGTATAGGGTTCATTTGGTCCCCAAGGTTTGGGTCAGTCTGTGACGTGAATGGGCTGGCAGTGGCCGCGCCCTGTGATGCGGAGAAGATTCTGGTGGTGGACCCGGCGACGAGCCAGGCTTCGGCCATCGAGCTCCCGGAGGGCATTGATGCAAAGAAGGACTACAAGTTTGTTTCCGTTTGCGCTGTGAATGGGAAGGCGGTGGCTGTGCAGTACAATGCTGAGAAGTCGTTGGTGGTGGACCCTGCAACTGGTTCGGCTTCAGCCATCGACCACCCCGCAGACATCGATGCAACCAGGACCTTCAAGTTTCTATATCCCCCACTTGGGAATTATTTGTATTTTTGTTTATATAAAACCGAGGAGGATATTAAACATACTGTCTTTATTAAGGTTCTAACTGGGGAGTATAGGTTTGGTTCCGTCTGCGACGTGAACGGAAAAGCGGTCGCGGTGCCCTGGAATGCTGAGAAGGTTCTGGTGATAGATCCCGCTGGCGGCCAGGCGTCGACAATCGACCTCCCAGCAGGGATCGATGCACGGAAGGGCACAAAGCTCCTTGCTGGGAGTAGGGTTCAGGGTTTAGGGTTTAGGGTTAGTGGAGTAGGTAAGCCTTAAACCTGTTTTGGGGTATTATCTTCCCCTTAAGAATCCCAAAGCTGAACCTTTGCTGAGGTTCCTGTCCGAGTCCGTCTGCAACGTCAACGGGGAGGCCCTGGCGGTGCCCTACAACGCAGAGAAGATTCTGAAGGTGGATCCGGCAACCGGCCAGGCTTCCACCATCGACCTCCCCAACTTAAAGAGTCTTGGTCGCCTGGGTTTTCGGGGGATTTAGGGTTTAGGGTTTAGGGTTTAGGGTTTAGGGTTTAGGGCTATTCAGGGTACCATATGATTCCTGGGCTACGCCAAGGGGTCGGAACCTCAACCTCAGCCTCCACAGCGACGTCCACCGGAAGCCCGAGTTCACCGACCTCGTGGCTTCGGTGCTCAGCTACTGGATCTACACCGATGAGCCGGAGCCCCCTCGCATGGAGCATCTTGCTGGTGCTTAGTATAAGGGAAGTGTGGGAATGACATGAGGGGGTGCCTTAGATCATTCCTTTAAAGAGTATATATATATATGTATACATATGTATATGCATATGTATATGTGCACATATATATATATATATACATATACATATTCATAAATATATATATATATATATATAGGGTGATATAGGGTACCTCCTCCCCTCATTCCCTACGAGCCAGCAGCAAGGCATGCGGCCATGGAGGTGCATAAGGTCATTCAGCCGGGCGAGCTCGGCTCGGCTGTGAAGATTGCAACCGTCACGGCAGAGCTTCCATCTGAGAAGGTGCTGTATCTAGGTAGGCCCTTCAGGGACGTTTTACATACTTTCCCTTATAGGGTTTGAGGTTTGGGGTTTAGGGTTTAGGGTTTAGGTGTTGTATCTAGGTAGACATTGTACATCGTTTTCCCTTATTGGGTTCAAGATGCTGTACCTAGTAGGCCCTCAAGGGACATTCTTACCCTTTTTTTCCCTCGTAATGGGTTTGGGAGGGTTACATATTGAGGTTTTTTTTTCAGAGGGTTTTTTTTTCAGGGCCATCCCCAGGTACGTGGTCTCCAAGGGCACCTCCTACATCTTAGACTTCCTGAACTGGAACCTTGAGTTGGATCATGCCGCGACCCAGGACTACGACTTGTTTAACAACCACCCCCCCCCCCCCAAAAAAAAAAAAAAACTAAAAAAAAAAATCATAATATAATAATAATAATAACAATAAGGAATATTCTTCCTTATAAAGGGCAACAGAGGGATGATTCTTCTATATTTTTTGGGGGGGGGTGATTCTTACAAGCGCCATAGTAGAGGATCGCGACTTCTTCGTCCACCGCGGTGCCATCGGGGTCGTTCAGAACGCGCAGTTCTGGAACGAGTCCACGTTTCTGGAGCGGCTGCGGGCCGCCAAAGAGCAAGGCATGGCTTGGGGTTTTAGGGTTTTAGGGTTTTAGGGTTTTAGGGTTTTAGGGTTTTAGGGTTTAGGGTTTAGGGTTTAGGGTTTGGGGTTTAGGGTTAAGGGTTTCAGAACTGTACTTATGATTGTACGTATAACTGTACTTTCAGAACTGTACTTATAAGAATATTGGGGCACTTGAGGGGCTTATAGCTGTACTTGTAATTGTACTTATGACCATATTGGGGCACTTACGGGCCTTAAAAGTGGGTTATAAGTACATAATTGGTGTGTGAGTACCGCGAACCCTCCAAGAAGGCGTTCAGAAGCTCGTCTTCACCGGCCACTCCCTGGGAGGAATGCATGCGGCCGTGCTGCTTTACACCTTCTGGAAGAACCTTGGAGACCAAATGAACCCTATAGAATTGAGGGGCCAAAAAACCATATACTTCTATAATCTCGAAGAAGTATATGTACCATAAGCCCGAAACCCTAAAATTAAGGCCATATACCCTATACTACTATAATTCCTCTTGAGGTATATGCACCCTAAGCCCTTTTAGGGTTCATGTGGTGCCCAAGGAAGATGACAAGCCCGCCCCCCGCGTCGGAGGCGTCGGATGTGCGCGCGCTGCTGGGCTCCGTGGACGTGCGCTGCACCACCTTCGGCGCCCCCATGGTGTTCGGGGGAAGCTCCCAGCAAGCCAAGGACTTTCAGGCCTTTTGTGCCAGAACACGCTCTTATTTGGGGTTGAGAGTTTAGACTTTAGGGTTCATATAGGGCTTTTTTCGAGGCTTTGTAGGGCTTATAGGGCTTGTAGGGGCTTTTGGGGGGGTTTTGGGGGGGTTTTGGGGGGGGTGCTTCCAGAGGCCTTTGCCAGAGTACACGCCGTGAACTACATCCACGCAAACGACCCCTGCCCTCGGGCCTGGGGCGCACTGGACCTACGAAGGTTCGTGGAAGTGGCGGCCGCTTGCAGTCCACTGAAGGTTTAGGGTTTAGGGTTTAGGGTTTAGGGCTTAGGGTTTAGGGTTTAGGGTTTAGGGTTTAATGCTTAGGGCTTCGGACTTAGGGCTTCGGGCTGGGCTTAGGGCTTACGGCTTAGGGCTTAGGGCTTAGGGCTTAGGGCTTAGGGTTTAGGGTTTAGGGTTTAGCCTTCCACCCTTTGTCCCTATTTTGGGGATCGCCAGTGGTAAGCCCCTACATCACGGTACAAAACAGGCCCCCAATTTGAATGATTAGTACTGGGCTTCCTTTTAAGGCCAAGAACGTGCAGAATGGCTTGGTTGACGAGCTCGGGTGCATTGTGGGCGGAGTGGCGTCCAGGGTCGTGGCGGAGGCAGCTCGGCAGGTGCTCAAAAGACCGGATTCTTAGCTTAGCTGAATGAGTACACTTTGCACTTTTTTGGGGTAGACTTTTTTTGTGGATACCATCATCCCCTATAGAACTGAAAGTGTCCGCTTCTTTTGGGGGCTGAGATGAACTCAGCAACTAAGTATTGTTCAACGCTAAACCCTAAACCCTAAACCCCAAATCTCAGCTTCTAGGTGCTTATGAACTCAGCAACTAAGGATTTCCACCTCGTCGAGGACTTCGCCAGGAAATACGCGCATTTTGTCCAGCTGAAGGTGCTGAGTCCGCAGAACCCAGAGAGCCAGTTCCTTGAAAAGCACATGAACCCTGAAAGTATAGGGTTTAGGGTTTATGGTTTAGGGTTTAGCGTTTAGCGTTTAGCGTTTAGGGTTTAGGGTTCAGGGTTTAGGGTTGAGGGTTTAGGCCACACCTACTGTACTTCCCTATTAAAGTGTATGAACCATAAACCCTTTTCGGGCTCGTTTCGTCCTTAAGGTTCTTTGCCTGGAAAGACTTCAAGCTGACCCCCGAGTGCTTGAAGGATCACTCCGTGCAAACGTATGTGAATCAGCTTTTTAACGCCTTTGACGACACCCGGCCAGCATGCCATGTGCATAGCCAACCTTTCGAGGAGGTAGAGACCTCAGAATCTCCGTTGGCGCGGGCACGAATGGCCTATGCCTAACTACTATTTTCTTAAGAACCCCAAAAGAATAATAGCAAGAATCCATCCCTATACTCTTCTTATAAGGATGAATATTGTTCATTTTTTTGGTGGGTTCCTAAGCAATTCGTCGTAATCGCTTCATTGAATTTTTTCTTTTTCGGAGCTTCAGCTGAAGTCCGGACCCGCGGCTCTCAAAACCCCGGGGCCCGAGCTTCGGAAGCTCCCCACAAGATCTTGCGCGGCTTAGCCAGCCGAGAGATGCTGCCGAAGGCAGCTGAGATACCACATCTTTGTGCCAAGAGAAAGGTGGGCTGAGGGGGGGAGAATCCGGGCTCATGAACCTGCCTCCGATGTTCCCCTCGCAACTCTGCACCGGTGAAGCAGCTGGGGGCGCGGGAGGGGTTACTGCATGGGGCTGCCGAGAATCTGGGCCCTCAGGCCTTGGAAGAGCAGGAGAACCGTCTGAGACCCCGAGGCCCTAAACCTCCATAGGTGAAAGCTCCGGACAAACGGCCCCCTTAGAAGCCAAGTCTCGGTTTCAAGGGTTTAGGTTTTCGGGTTTAGCGGGTCCAAAGTTTTCGGGTTTAGGTGGCTGTAGGGAGTCTCTGTGGTGCTCTACTGTAACTGTAGATCCTTAGCCTTTTTTGGTTTACTAGGTTTCTTAACAAGGCAGCTAAGTTTGCAGCCAAGGACTTAGAGTTCAGGGTCTCAAGGTCGGCTCTGCCGGGCTCCTTGGTGGAAAAAGCAATGCGAAAAATGCATCAAGATGCATCATGACGAGATTCCTCTTCGTAGGGAATGAGGGAATGAGGGCCCTATATATACCCCTTAAAGGATCCGAATTCCCTCATTCCCTACTGTGCACCAGCCAGGACTGGGGGGCGCAGTCCGAAACGCGGCTTGGGGCCCCGCCCCCCCGCGCGGGTGATCGGAGCGACGCGCCGGGTTGTGGATGGCCAGGTTGGCCCTCCGCAACTCCAAGAGAGCAACCGCTTCGTGGAGATGTCAGGGAAAAAGCAGAAGCCCTAAACCCCAAACCCCAAACCCTAAACCCTAACCCCTAAACCCTAAACCGCCCTAAGCTCCAACAAAATGTTTGCCAGTTCCAAAAGGGCCCCGCATCGGAGCTACCTACACAACTCTCTTGAAGGGGGGATGTGTTGTAGGGTTCAGGGTTCAGGGTTCAGGGTTCAGGGTTCAGGGTTTACCTAATCCCCCAAAAATGGCAGAAGTCGCACTGCACTCTTTTTTGTTGGCTGGAACATGGACTGTGGCTTCCATCTTCTTTCCCACTATTCAGTTTAAGAGAGGGAAAGCACCTTACACCCTAAGCCCTCACCCCTAAACCCTGGACCCTGAACCCTAAACCCTGAACCCTTCACCCTACCAATTCCTATGTCAGCTGGTCATGTGAGTGCTTCAAGACGTGATTAGGGTTTAGGGTTTAGAGTTTGGGTTTAGGGTTTTGGGTTTTGGGTTTTGGGTTTTGGGTTTTGGGTTTTGGGTTTTGGGTTTTGGGTTTTGGGTTTTGAAGGGTTTAGGGTTCAGGGTTTAGGGTTTAGGTCCTGAAGTACTGCTTGCTTGCCATTGCAGAAAGCAACACTGCCATGGCGTTGTTGGTAGCTGTTGCCCGTCTAGGTTCTCGATGCCAGTGGTGGTGTTGTGTATGTCTCTTGCTTCACTTGTGATGATGGTTATGATAGCGGCAATGACAAGGAGGATGTCGATTCCGGTGATTGCACGAGGGCATTGTGGTTCAGGATTAAGGGGACGTAGCATTTGAGTGATTCTTTTGTTTGGCATGGTTGTCGTCCACAGAATACACGTGCAGACGGTTACTAGTATTTCTTATTGTCTTGTATTCACTGACTAAGCCCGATATGCACCTTACTTCCTTGTATGTATGTATACGTATATGTATATATACATATATGTCTGTGTGTGTGTGCGTGTGTATGTGCTAGCCCCCTTCAAAAAGAACATGTGAAGACATAATGTGAGTGTGTGTGCTTATATTTGAGCCAGGGTGTTTTTGAGTTGTACGTCGCAAGTGCTCGACTCCCAAAAGCCGCGCTGGACACGATCAGGCAGCTACGAACCAACAAAAAAAGCCTCCCTCCTTCGTTTGCTTCATCTTTGGACATCACTTTGCCTGGCGAACCACTGTCGGCTTCTGCCAGAAGATGCGCTGCAATGCATGGTAGGAGTGGGTGGCACCCTGAACCTTGGACCCCTGTGACTTCCTGTAAAAAGACATCGATGTTTGTAATCTCGTACTGCATCTTGCCGGTTCAGTTTACCTAAACCCTAAACTCTAAATCGAAAGTAGCCCTTTGCATGCCAGCATACCATCACCGGGCTGTGATGCGCTCCATGGCGGGCCTGGCGCATCTGGCGCTGGCGTTGCTCGTGTTGCCAGTGGTTTCTGCCAGTGCTTCCGACTGCGAGCGCGATGCTTCGGAGATGATGCAGCTGCGCTGGTTCACTACCACGACGCCCGATCCCGAAGGGTTGCCCCCATATGCGGTGAAGCTGACGAGCAAAGGTGGCCGAATTGGGGCCATGGTTTCTTGTTTGCAGGCCTCTTAAAAAGCGTGTGTTTTCTGGCGCCCGGTTTCGGGTTTCCGTGAGAAGCTCCCCGATTTTTTCTGCAATTTTGTACAAGCCGCCATGCTCTCTGCGTACCAAGGTGTTCGATGACAGCACAAAGTGGGACAAGGCGTGCACAGAAGCAGCGCTGTTCCTCGGGGACGAAATGGGCCCTAAAAAGGGTTTAAACAGGTTCATATACATTATATAAGAGGAATTTATAGTAGTATAGGGTCTAGGACCCTAATTTTAGGGTTCCTTTGGCCGCCAAGGTTCTTGCAAAATCAGCAGCTCATCAACCTGACCGATGCCGGAACCTGAGATCTCTAGTGCAAAACCCGGGAGTGGGACTTGTTACGCCCACTCGAGGCCCTCTAAAGCCTGAAGGTTGAGCCCGGGCACCATCAACCCGAAACCCGAAACCCTAAACCCTAAACCCTAAACCCCAAACCCTGATCCTAAAACAAGAGCCTCTTCAGCTGAGCCGAGCCCAGTGCCCCTGCCCTTTTGCCCCAAATGGCCCCAAAATTGGCTCCTAGGTATGGTGTGGGTTTAGGGTTTAGGATTTAGGGTTTAGGGTTTAGGGTTTAGGGTTTAGGGTTAAATTGGCTCCCAGGTATGGTGTGACATGGGTTTAAATTTGGCTCCCAGGTATGGTGTGGGTTTAGCGTTTAGGATTTAGGGTTTAGGGTTTAGGATTTAGGGTTTTTTGAAGGCTGTCTTCTCCACAATGCGTTCCTGTCTGTACATGTCACAAGATGCTTGCAACACTTTCAAGCAACGTTGATGACGGTCTCTCAAGCTCAGCGTGTGAGGGGGGGCGGGGGAGGGGGGGCGGGGGAGGTAGGGGTTGTAGGGTTTCCAAGGTCTTGCGAGTTTAGGGGGCCTGGTTTGGGGTTCAGTTCTTGACGAGCTCAACTTTGACTTCGAGGCTTGAGGCTTGGGATTCTCTTGTTTCCTTTCATGTTTTTTTTTGAAGGGGCACTCCTTTTTCTTTTTCCGCAGCTGTGCGCATAGTACTGCATCGTTCCAAGGCTGGTCAAAACTACAACCTCTGCTCCTTGGTCAGACATGTGCGGGACCCTCAGCCCTAAACCCCAAACCCTCCGCATCAATCATCAACAATTGAATCTCGACCAGAAGCCTGAAACCCTCAAGACCCGATCGCGGGAGATGAAACCTGTGCAAATGGGTGTTGTGGCTGTGGCTGCAGCGATGCCCAGAAACGACGTGGCCCAATAAGTGTGGTATATGGCATATGCAACAAGGAGACATCATCACCGCCAAGCAGCGCCGGCAAATCGGACTCAATGCAGGTAGTCTTGCACCTCACTGAACATGGCTTGAGCCTCTGCTGTAGCCACAGCCGGACTCCCTACCCCCAACCCCGCAACCCCCAAGCCCTAAGCCCTAAACCCTAAACCCAACGAAGCACCTGTGACCCGGCGTACTAAGGTAACGGGAGCACTTGGACGTGGTGTTTTCAAATCAAGGCCAATGCTGGCTTAGTGCCCTGAACCCGAAAAACACCAAAGGCCCTAAAGGTCAAGACTTTAGTTCAGGGGCCCACAAAAGAGAAGACATTCGCGTAGATCCAGACAGAATTCTCAGCTGTTAGCAATTCTAGCCAGAGCCTTGGGGGGTAAATGAACCCTAACAGGGTTGGTGGCTCATATACCTTCATAGGAATCAGAGTATGGGGTAGGGTATATGACCACCCGAAACTCTAAACCCTAAACCCCAGTTTTTGGGTTCACACGGTGGCCAAGCACATGGCGTGTCAAATCTGGATCCACGCGCGCCCGTTCCCTTGTCAGCTCCCCTTCTTTACAAAGAAGGGCTGCATAAATCCCGACATGTTTGCACAGATCCTTTTTATGAAAGAAGTGAGACCGAGTTTCGCAAGACACTAGCAGCGAATGAAGTTTCAATCGGCACTAAACCCTCAACCTTCAGCACGCTTGGAGCAACTCTTCCGGGGCTGAGAAATCTGTCGGGCAAGCAGGCCCAGCAGCCCGGCACCCATGTTAACTACCAGTCTTGGCTGTTTTTGAAGTTGCCATAGTGTTCTTAAGATTCATGCATTCATGCTCATATGATTCTCAGTAGTAGATGATGGCTCACATCTTCCCGACACAGGAGTTATTGGGGTCCCTATTTTGCAAAGATCCTACTAATCCTACTATTTAAACGGTATAGATGAGGGGTCCCTTACTTTTGCAAAACCCCCCTATTTCATGAGTTCCCACCCGCCTCTATACCACCCGCCCCGGGCTTCCCCCCCCCCCCCCCCTAATCAAGGCTGTTCCCTAAACCCAAAACCCTAAACCCCATATTTCCACAGGAATCCGGGGCCGTGAAGTTTGTCCAGCAGCCGCGCGACATCGAGGAGTCCCCTGTGCCGAGAAATGGGGCCGAGCTGGAGGTGG